ACGGTATTACTTGATTGCACATTATCCTTAGATTTTTATAAAAATGGTCATATTCTAATGTTTAGAAGTTAATTCCTTTCTTTTGCAAAACTTGAATTTTTTCTTTTCTTTTGAAAACAAATCAACTTTTTCTTTTGAAAAAAAAAAGCATTTTATTGTTTGATCAAGATAGAAGTGTCTCAAGTATCGAGATAACTTTTCACTCTTTTATATTTAGGTAGAGCTTCAAATGTATTACTAACTTAAAGGTTTTAAATTATTTCACAAAATCAAGATAACACATCGTATAAATGCTAACTATCAAGAGTTTTCCTATATTGAGGTCAGATCTCAAAGTCTATTTTTAATTAAGATATAATCTTATTTGAAAATATTTTTTTCTTTGAAAACTCATTTTGGAAAACATACGCATAACATGTGTAGATACTTAATTTTGTCTGGAACACTTTTTTATGTGATCCGGGCTTACTTTTGTGATTGGGCTTGATCTTCATTTTTCGAGCCTATTGTACGACCCACTTTTGATGTTTCGTACAAGGCCCAATCTTAAAAGCCCATTAATGGCCATAATAATAATAATAATAATAATAATAATATTATTATATATTATTATTATTATTATTATTATTATTATTATATAAAAATGTAAAAATTTAAAAAATAAAAAATAAAAAATGAAAAAAAATAAAGTAAAATTTTGGCCCAAAATGAATTAAAAAGCCCAAGCAATCTAAATGCCCAAAAACATCAATGAAAACAAGGTATGAAAGCCACCCAAAATATGGCCAACAAATAGGCGAATCGGTTAAGCCATTAGGAAGTGAAACCATGAAAAATGAAGGCCAACATGCATGAAGGAGTGGCGGCATATGAGGGTAATTCTAAAAATACAAAAGCAAATTGAAAAGAAGTGAGGCATGACGTGGGGCTTGCGGAGGTGTGAAGACAAGCTAAGAAACCGATAGAGAAGACGTGGGGCATTCATGGGACGTTGGAGGAACTGCATGAAGAAGGGGCTGAAAAATAAACCTGCAGCAAACAGAAAGGGCAATTAAAAAAGAAAAAAGGAGCAGAAGAGAAAAGAAAAAAAATCGAACGGAAGAAAAAGAGAGAAGGCAGGAGAAAGAAAGAAAACTAAAAAGATAAAACCACCAGAAACAAGAACGGAAGAGGAAAAGTGAACAAGAAAGAGGCAGCAAGCAAATGCAAAAAAAAAAAAACAAAGAAAAAAAAAAGGGTAATGAATAGCAGTGGCAAGAGGAATAAGCAGAATGCCAAACCTGCACGAAACACGAAGCAGAAACAGAAAATTGCAAGCAGGTGTTCAAGGTGTGAGCAGAATGCAGTGAAAAAGACAAGTGTTTGTAGAACCAGTAGCCAAGAAAGAAGCAGATGAGAAATAAGTAAAAAAACTGGCAATAAAGGTGGAGACGCAGCAGAAAACATAAGCAAGATACAGCAGCAGCCAAAAAAGAACAAAAAGGAGAAGAAAGCTAAAACACGGGGCCAGAAAGCAATAAGAGGCGTGGCCAAGCAACCAGAGGAAGAAGAGGCTGGAACAGAATTGAAGGCAGGCAGTAGCGTTAGGAGAAGTACGCTACAAAGCAAAACATAAAAACTAAGAACTGAAACCAGAGGTAATCTTTTGTTTTCTTGTTGTCCTTGTACGAATATAGGTGATTATGTTTGACTTGGCATATTAAACTTAAATAAAAAATAATAAAAAGCATGTTAAGTTGACTAGTGTTTCTTTTTGTTTTTTTCCTCTCCTTTTCTTTCTTCTAGCATAAAGCTCTTTGTCATTTTGCAAGATATATTGCTTAGTTTGTAAAAAGCTCTAGGTTTTTTATGATTTCTTAGACATGTTGGCTGCATGCTAGATTGCTGCCATGTAGAATTTCCTCTTTAGATGCGTGAGGGCTGTTAATAAAAAGAAATATAAAGCTTTGCTTTTCATGATAATTGTTTGTTAAAGGGCTTGAAGCTTTGCTTTTCATGGTGATTACTAGTTAGTTGATCTAATGTTCTTTTATTCTATTGTCTAGCTTGTAGTTGTTGTATGAACTCGATTAGGATATTGTGAACATAATAATATTAATAAGAATGAATGCTTACAAGTAAGCAAGAAAAATAATAATAGTAAATAAGAAAAATAAAAAATAATGTAGACAATAATGGAAAACTTAGATCATATTGTCTTCAATTATATTGATTCATTTTTATTACTAGTTACATTTTAAAGTCTATTAATAATATAAAAAATAAAAAAATCTTAAAATCTTTGCCTAGATGTTGGAGGGTTTCAAAATCGAATTGAAAAATAATAATAATTTTGCCTAGATATAGGAGAATTATTATAATAAAATAAAAATAATAATAAATTTTTAATGAAAAAGAAAAAATAAATAAAATATATAAAAATATATTTTTTAGAAAAAACTTATAAAAAATGAGCTTGTACCCAAAAATTATATAAGAATTAATTTTTGAAAATTACAAAATAAGAACTTACTCCAAAAATCTACCCCATATATTGAAGATTTTTAGAGAGATTTGTAAAATCCCAAAATCGAAACCCTAAATGAAACCTTACATCAACCCTAAAGGAACTTGAAATCTTAAATCTTAGGTGGAACCCGAATCACCAAGCCTTAGTGGAACTCCTAAATTAAACTTTACCATCCTAAGCCTACCTAAAACCCTAAACTTATTTTAAATTTTCAAGGGATTTATATGAAAACCTTTTTATGAAATAATTAATTCCTGAGTGATGCCTAAATGATGGGGAATTTAAGAAATTTTATTTCATAATTTTCATATATGTTCATAACTTAAAATAAAAAATTTTAATAAAGAATAAATAATAAAAAAATAATAAAAGGATATTTTAAATATAAATAATCGCACCCAAACTCTGCCTAAAGGTTGAAAAGTCCAAGTGGTTTCTTTACATTTGAAAATCCAATTTTAAAATTCTCATTTTATCTTCATTTGCATATGTTTCGTTTTTGAATTAATGTGTTCATTTGTAATGCATATGTATGTTTGTTCTAATTATGGATGTACAATATTAATTATATTATTTCTTGTTTTACCATATAAAAAGTTTGTAAAAATTAGTTTTAAACAAATAAAATTAAAATAGTATTCCCTGAAATATAAGTGTTGGTACTCTGCTTAGATATTGAAGCGTTGTCGATAATTATCATTTATGGAGAATGTTATTTTATTATTTTTAAAAGAAATGTTATGATGAATTTTAGTTAAAAAGATTATCTTTTAATTCTGCCTTTATGTTAGAAAATTTGAAGGTATTTTTTAATCTAAAATTTTCATAATATTCTAAATAAAGATTTCTTTAAATTAATTTTCTTTCTAAAAGTAAAGGGAATTATAATTAAATTTCGTATAAAAACTTTTTTTATCCAAAATTATTAATAATGCACAATTAATTAGTATCAATTTTGTAGGCGTTATCGGGTGCTAATCTTTCCCTGCACATAACCAACTCTCAAACCCAATCTTATTTTCATAAACCAAAACTATCTTTTTAATTGTTAAAAAGATAAATTTTAGGTGGCCAATCACACTCTTAAAAAATATTGGTGGTGACTCTCCGTGTTTTTCATGATTTTTAACTTTTTATGTCTAGCGATTGAGTCTCCGGACTGATACGTTATAACATATATGTACATAACAATATTATGAATGCATGACAATTGAATATGAATGACAAAATATAAATGTATGACAATTTAAAAATGCATGTAACAACAAAGTAAAATGAAATGTAAATGCAAGAATAAGGTCAAGGGTTGAATTTTAGGTTTGAAGGTTGCTTCGGGTTTGAAGAAATCATCCAATGGCTATCTTTCTCTCTTGTTTTTCTTGCAAAGAGCCAACTTTCACCACTGGATCCAGCCCTCTAAGATCATCTCATGGTTAAGAATCTTCATGGCCAAAGGTTGCATTTTAATGTTATTGGAACTAACTGAAAATACCATTTTATCTTTTGTTAGAAAGTTTTCAATTTCAAAGTAATTATGTTGGCAAAATATGATCCCTTCTTCATTTTTATGATTTTAAAGCACCAAAATCCTGAAATAATATGAAATTATGATATGAAAGTTTTCGTAGCAAACCAACATCGGAAAGATCAAATTATAAAAATACCCTTAAGATGGTATTTTGGTAATTTCAATCTTTCAAGATGCGATTAATGTTTTTAATGCACCAAAAATCATGAAATATTATAAAATCATAATCTAAAAGTTTTCATGAAAAATTGATCTTAGGATGGTCAAATGACAAAAACACCCCTAAAGGGTAGTTTGGTAATTTCAACCTTCTAAGATGCAATCAAGGTTTTTAATGCACAAAAAATCATGAAATAATATTAAATTATGATTTGAAGCTTTTCATGAAAATCCAACTTCGAAAATATCAAATTATGAAAATATCCTAAAGGGTATTATAGTAATTTTTCACCTTTTATGGTGCGATAAAAATGTTTAATGCATAAAAAATCATGAAATATTATTAAATTATTATTTGAAAGTTTCCATGAAAATCTAAATTTGAGAAAGTCAAATTATGGTAATTCTCTTAAAGGGCATTTCGATAATTTTGCTTTTCCAAAAGTGTGATTAAGGTTTTTAGTGCAGTAAAATCACAAAAATCATTTCTAAGACCTCCTGGTCTCATTTTGTTGTGAATTTTGAAGATTGACCTAAGTTTAATCTAGTTTGATTGGTTTTGACCAAGTTTGACTATATTTGACCAAGTTTGACCATGGAGAATTTAGATCAAATTGATCTCAAATTTGATTTTAAAACTTGTCAAAATTAAAATATATATATATATATATATTTATTGGATTTGAACTAGATCGGACTTTAATAGCTTTAAGTTGGCCAAATTCTACCTAGATAAAATTAGGTATCTATAGTTTGAAACCAAATTAAGTAACAAAATAAATAGAGCATATGGTGTTTCTCTTAATTCTTATTACATCTTACCAAACAAAACACATTTGCAAGATGAAGCTTAAACAGTTTTTGTTAAAAGAAAATAAATATATAAATCATCCAGTTTTCAAGAATTAGAAATGCCCCTAGAAGTATCAAAGACCATGGTTGCGTATAGTAGGTGGTTCCATGTATCAGGCACACCAGGCAAACACCAGTGACTGCAATCAGGGCCAGGCTTGAATTGCTTTTTCATCCAATAAATTGAAGAATGTGCATCTTTTCTGTACTCTGTTAGCTTAGTGATGTTCAAGTACTTCACTGGTGTCCTCATGCCTTGGACCCTTCTCTCGACAATATCTTTGATCAGTGATTCACTATGTTTCAATTTGAAAGGCTTATCCTTGGTTGGTTGTGTTGCTTTGTGGCACTTGTGTCTCCCAGAATGAGCCGGAGACATGCCCCTGAAGAACACTGTTGTTTTGCCTGTGTCCACATTTTTTTCGATCCATCGAGCCCATGTCTGCATAGCAAGCTTAAATGCTCTTTCAAGCTTCATATCTGTATACAATTTCTGTTTGAACAGAAACCTGTCCCACCTGCAATGAAATAATCCATCCATCTGACTGCAAAGTCTGTTTTACAATTTAGATATGCACAATTGTACATCCCCTTTATGAATTATTACAATTTACAGTTACCTTTGGCGGCTCATCCACCAGTGACCAGTGTTGAACACCATAATATCTGCACCTTTCCATTTCCATGCAGTGGAGGAAAGAGAGTCGAGCTTCAATATCTTTTTCCCGCTAGTCTTGTTCACGATTACCTCGACCAGAAATTCGGCCCAGTGAGACTCAACAATCAAGTTATATGACTGTAACATCCAATATGACTTTTCGTTAAGAAAGTTATGAATCATGATCACGAATTAATAATGGATAATGTTGAAGATCAAGTACGTATAAAAACAAGCATGTTGAATTTCTCATCCAGAAGTTGGGAGGAAGGCAATCAATAGCACATGTGAAATTGAGAGTTGACAAAAGAAACACGATGGGAATACTGTTCTCTGACCTTTGCTGTGAAGACCCGATTTCGAGCATCAACGTGGGATTTATCAGGTATGGCAGAATATAGAAGACAAGCCAGAGATTCCCATTGGCCAAAGCCAATGGAATCTCCCACTATTACAACTCTCTTGCCTCTAAGTCTCTCTAACAAGTCCATGGCGTCAAACCTTAACAGCAAAGTGGAAGGACCTGTTTACACTTCTATAGTAGAGAAATGCAAAAGGAAAGCATTTATGCGGCAGAGCAGAGCACTGCTTACCTAGGAATCTTACATTCATTGGCTTCCCACCTCCATTTTTCATATTCCTTGTCTGGCCGTCCATTCGTTTGGCAGCTTGCTCTATCACTAAAAAATGGACACATGGCTGAATCATAAAGAGGACTCTCCTCTGGATCATAAACCCATTTTCCTTCAAAGATATTGCATCTTTCTATTTTCTTCTCCATTGTATTTGGCTTTTCATCATGAAAAATCTTTGATGGTTTTGGATTTTTCAAGCCTGCAGATAAAGGATCCGGAGAAGAAGATGTTCCTGGTTCAATTTTACCTGCTGTGAAATTTGATGGTCTTGAATTTTGAAAATCTAAAGAGGGAACATGAGAAGGCACTACCGGTTTTACATTCTCAAAGATGTCTGACGGTTCCGAATTTTGCAAGCCTGAGAAAGGAACCTGAGAAGAAGATGTTGCTGGTTTCTCACTATAAGTAAAGTTCAATGGCGTACAAGATTGCAACTCCAACATTGGAGACTGATCAGGAGATTTCGGTGGCTCCTTATCATCAATGTAATTTAGAGACATTGGAGACTGCATATCCGGCATGGTATCCAGAGTAGAAGCTGGTTTTGGCACTCTATGGTTCTGAAGCACTGTTATGCTGTAATCATTGCGCCTGTGACTGACGAAAAAGAGAAGGACGAGTATGGAGCTTGCAAAGGTGATCAGCCACCATCTGTCAATGATGGTCGGATAGGAGCCCATGATTGATACTGAAGAACTTGACCGGCTGCTCGTTTCCTAAGATGTTTCTAATTACTGAGGCTAGGCTTATCATAAATAAGCCAAAACGTCATAACTCTCTCAAGTCGGGTAAATTAAGATTCAATTCCGTTGCAAAATTTACTAAAACGAGTGTTTTTATGCAGCTATGGCTTGTTGAATTCAAGGGATAGATAAGATACACGTGGTGCGATGTGGTCGAGGCTATACATCGGCGTAGCTGTGGTCCTAAGAAAGTGAGCAGGGTTGGATGCAGATATTTATAGGACAGTGGTACATGCACTCTTTTCATGCCCTTATTTCACACATCTACTTTTTTCTTTTCGACTTAAGTGAAAGTAATAAAATTTGTATAAATTATAATAAAATTTTGAAAATTCATATATTATATAAATAAAGAATGTATTAGATAAATGTATATAGCTTTTTTCTTTGTTTATCATAATGTTACACAAATCATCTTTAACTCTCATATGAGGATGGCATACATCATACCAAACAAGAAATAGTTGAAATCGTGTGACCCCATCTTTGTCTTCCTATGGAATTTGCTTTCAATAATTTCTACAGTCTCTTTGAGAAATAATAGAGATAGAACATTACAAATAAGGAAGCACTGGAGCAGCTTGCCAATTGCTCCTTTCACCTCTCTCTTGTCTCTTTTATTTAAATTCGTTTCTATTACACGAGTTATGCATGAAAGATTAAAGGCATTGTCATAATACCTAAGTGAGAGAATTCAATTATTAGACATTAAATGTGATTGATCATCTAAATAAATTTATTAATTTTTAAGATATCTTAATTAAGGATGTCAATGGATAAAGTACTTGCTATTTTTTAAATAATCATAGTCTTACTTGTCATATATTTCATAATACATGAATCTTATAAATATTCGATTTTTTTTTTAAAATTACTACTTATACCTACCCTAATAATTTTAATAATACCCAGTTATTATCTAAACTCATTTAACTACCCTATTATTAAATCAGCTATGTTTAAAAAACTTTTTACTTAAACAAATAATAAAAGTAAAAAAAAAGAAGAAAGACTAATAGAACAAAGTTTAAACTTTAAATCTCAAGGAAGGATTTATGGTCAATGGCCACTTAAAGCCTTTGCCACGTGGCCAAAGGCAATTGGCTTCCTAGAGTTCTATTTTTGGTTGAGTAGGGCACATGGACATGGACATTTATAAACTCCTCCCCTTTTTATCTTCATTATAAAGTGCTGATTTGGATAAGTGCAAACTTTTTTATTCTTCAAGTTCTTATTTTTAAACTCATTGAGTATTCATTTTTAAGTATATAAAAAATTATTTATACTAATATTTTTTAAAAAATTTAAAGATAATTTTTATTCTATGTCATATTTAATTTATAATGATATAAATTTTATATGATAATTTATAAATTGCTAACTAATATTAAAGTTTAAAATAGTCAACTTCTAATGATTTAAACAAGTTATAATCAAACTTGTTCATGAATGTTAAACGAATTTGTCAGTGAATATAAATGAATTGAATACACACTTGTTCATAATTGATTCATTTATCAAACAAATTCTAAAAATTTTGTTCAAAATGATTTGTTTATCTTATATGTTGTTAAAAATAATTGTTAAAAGGTAAAAATAATCTTTTAAATATATTATATATTAATATCTAAAAATTAACATTGATAATTTGACATACATGATTTTTTTAACTGTGTTATCTTTTATTTCTAATATATAATCTCTTATAATGTGATTTAGAATAATTTATATAAAATATAATTCATATATGTATCTTATTTTAATAATTTGTACGTTACATTATAAAGATTTCTTACCGTATAACATAGAATAAATTAAATAACATCTTACCATTATACATGTTGTATAGAATAAACGTATTGTTTTTAATTTTGAATGTATGATAACTTATAATGTGATTTAGAATAATATATATAAAATATGTCATTTACATGTGTATATTATCATAACAAATTGTTTACTATGTTATAACATAGTATAACATTTTATAATAACATATATTATGTTATTATAAAAAACTACAAATAGAATAATATTATATATATGTGTTAAGACTTATAACTTGTATGTTAAAATATCATGTATGTCAATATGTTAAAATTATATCTTCACTTAGTATGAAAGTTTTCTTAATTTAATTTAATAAATTATATTTAAATTTGGAAATATTAAGCATAATTAATTAATTTAATTTTAAAATTAATTTTATTAGAAAATTTATTACATTTAGACAATTATTCTATAGTAAAGAGAGTGACTTGCCAACGTTCAAATCTTTCCCCACATGTAAAATTTTACACTTAAGACTAAACAAGCTTAGGTATTTGTACCATTCGAACCAAATGCTAATCAGGTTCAGGTATAGAGAACACAAGGGGTACTATTTGAATCTTATATGAATTTGTCTAAGGTATTTGTCCTTTTACCCATATCTATTAATTACCATATTATAAGATACTTGAATCTGATATACTTGGTTAGGTAATGTTAGGTAGTCGATTATGAAGTACCTACTTCTAATTTTGATTAAAGATCCTTAAAAAGAATAGATTTTGATATAGAAATGGAATTAAATTCAAAAATAAGATTACATATGAAGAAGGCATTAGCACTTGTACAATGCCAACCCAAAAATGATATCAATTAGTCTTATATTATCTTACATTTGTCCTGATTGAAGGCCTTTCTACTTTAAATTTTATCATTTTTATCATTATATTAAATAAAATCTCTTATATTGATTATTAAATATTTCATGTGGATAAAAATCTTTTTATTATGTCTCTTTTGATTCCATCATTGAAGAACTTTTATTTACTATTAAAAATCATAAATTAATTATTAGATTTATTTTAAGAGAAACTAAATAGAAAATCTTTTTATCGAAAAATTTTCAAAAATCCTTTTAATACTTTTGGTAAGATTTTGAAAAAAAATTCTTCAGCTAGGAGTTTTCAAAAAAAATTGTGACCTGTGTCCTTTCTTAACTCCATCAACAAGGAACTTTTATTTACTATTAAAATTTATAGATTAATTATTAGATTTATTTTATGAGGAAGTAAATATAAATGACTTTTATTGAAAATTTTTCAAAAATCCTCCTAACACTTTTGATAAGATTTTGGAAATATTCCTCATCTAAGAACTTTCAAAAAATCACCACTTGTGTTTCCTCACTAATTCCATCATAGAAGAATTTTACTTCCTTCCTAAAAAATAATTACATAATAATTAAACAAAAAATGATTTACAAAATTTTATTATCTTGTATATTTTATTTTTATGTTACCACATAATTAAAAATATCCCTAATTAATAAATTTAAATATGAAGAAAATAAATAAAAAAAGGATAAAATCAAATAAATTAAAGGATTAATATTATGAATGATCCCTAAATTATAGTGAAATATTCAATATAATACTTGATCTTAAAAAATCTCTAATATGATACTTAAATTATGAATTTATTAACTTATTTGGTACTTAGATGGTCGTATAAGTGCCATGTATCATTATTTTGAGTTGGTCATGTAAGGGGTAAATACCTCATTGGTTAACAAATTTATAATTTAGATACCACATTAAAGATTTTTAAAGTTCAAATACCACATTGAATATCTCACTATAGTTTGAGGACCATTCATAGCATTAACCATAAATCAAATGAAATTAGAAAAATAAAAAAAAATAAAAATTACCAAATTGGTCGAAGTAAATGTGAGGATCCATGGATCATGTCTAAAGTAATGTGTGGGTTAACCTATTTTTTCTTCTTTTCTTTTCTCTTTCTACTTAAGAGCTTTTCTCTCTATCTTTAAAAATTCTTCAATCATTGGACCTTGAACCTTAATCTTGACTGTTCCATACCATGCTATCTGTTAGCCGTCTCCTCCAACCACTACTCACTAAAGTTGGAATTCTATTAAATTTCATCCTTTAACAGTTTAATAGCTTTTTTCTCATCTTTCCTTTATCCAATTAATTTTTGCAAAACAAACCCAAGAAATCCCTAGATCTAAAAGCCAAAATCAAAACTTTCTATCGCCAATAGAGCACTTTTTCGCCACATAAATAACCTAAAAATCAGTTATGTTGCTCTCTTGTTCCACCTCTATACCTTCCAACCTTGTAATACCAAAAAACAGTAAGAAAAATAGCCAGCTTGAAATCTAGCTAGCTTTAAAAGTAAATCTTGCGGCCACTATTTTTACCCTTATCTAAAAGCCTAAAACTAGTAGGAAAATCCTTATTCTTTTCCTTTTCTTCCTAGTCTAGATCCCTGAAAAAACCTTAATTCATTTAAAACTAAAACCCCTAAACAACATTCTAGAAAATTTTTGTTTCATAAAATTTTTTTATTGTTCTAAACACATCAATATATTGTGTATTTGCTTATGATTATTGTGTTAATTGGTTCCCTTTATTATTGTGTATATTGTTTGATTGCATAGAGATTTTTGTACGAAAGATCATGGATTTTTTATTGAATGGAAAAGATTGGATTTGCCTTTTAGCAAATGTAAATTTGATTTTTTTTTCCTTGTCTTGAGCTCTAAGTAAACATCCAAACCTAAACCTAAACCTTTTCCTTTTTTAGATTTTTTTTTTATTTTTTCAAAATTTTCAAAATTTTTATTAAAAATAGAATAAAAGAAATAAGGAAAAGAAAAGAAAAATGAAAAAGAAGAAGCAAGGAAGAAAAAATTCATTTTGGACAATTAGGTTTTCTTATTAGGCCTAAAGTCCATTTGTATAAGTCTAAAAAAAAAAAAATACAAAATCCAATTAACAATTTTTGAGATCCAAAAATTAAAAGGCTCAAAACAATTTAAAGATTCAAAAACCCAAAAACAAATTAAAAGTCCAATTAAATTTTAATTTGAATTTAAAAATTTCAAAAGCCAACTTCAATTTAATATCAAATAAGTCCAAATCCAAAACTTACAAGTTAATTGGAAAACAATTAAATTATGTTGAATTGGAATTTTCTCAAAAAATCATTTAGACCCTTTATACAAATAAATATCAAAATTATTATACCAAATTTTTATTTTTTGACAATAAAAATAATGTTGTTACTAACTCTCTCAACTCATTAGAGAATTTACAAGTATTTTCTATTATATATACGTAGTAATTTGAGTTCATATTTGCAAAACATTATTGTATAAATAAAATCGTAAAACATTCAAGTAAATAATATCGCATAAATTTAG